TTTTAAATATTTTAAATATTAAATGTTAATTGTAGTAATAATATTTTAATATTTTAATATTTAATAAAATATTTTATTGTGATTAGACGGTTAAAATTAAACAATTATAATCATCACAATATGACGCAACATTATCATTTCAATTAGAAAATTAAATAATCCCAATATAACTTGACTTCACTGGAGGACTGGGCGGTTAACACGGTGATACTGTGTCCGGCTCTGCGTCGGGGAACACACCGACAGAACCGCGGACAAGAACAGATCATGATTGGCATAAATGACACTTTTACACGGATCTTACATCTCTTCACAGCATTTATTACTGCCAGTTGCAAGTACCAAACATTGCACAATAACTGAATCTTGAAATGAACTAGGCGCTGACAAGAAAATAAAACATATTATCGATGCTGGTGCAAACACACTATATCTATAATCGTAAAAAATTCCTTTTACAAACTACAAGACCATAATAAATAGAGTCGTTACCCGCGTATAATGACAACAAATGGAACGATGAACTCGCGTTTATGACGTTGCAACGGAGTGTTATGCCATGAAATATAGTTATTGATTTCAGTAGGCATACTAAGAGACGAAATTGTATGAAACAATGTAAATAATTTACCGAACACTTTCTTCGTTCCTTATAACATTATGGCCACATGGCGAATAGAAAACGATGTATATTTTTTTGTTACGGTAGACTAACTTTTACGTTAATTGTGATTTATAGTATTTCGCATAATGAGTAATAAATGTCAGACAGAATATTATAGAGAACAAGAAGTAGTTAAGACGCACGAATCACCATATTATTTTGTGTGATAGCTAGACATTTCTTTAAAGCAACTTTACCCATTTAACAGTCAGAATTAAGATAATAAGTAATGGATTTCAGTGATTCAGAGACATTTTTAAAGCGCATGTTTCCACTGTGACCTTGTATCAGACGCTATCCGAATCTCACATCCTGTTTCTTTTAAAACGTATAGATTACCTTCATATATTTAAATATATACATAAAATAAACGAACTTCCAAAACTACAGAATTTTGGCGAGGAAATCCCTTACGAAGATGCAGTTGCAACACCGAGAAAGGGATAGGAGTTTAACATGAGAACTATTTTTATTTATTTAGTGTTCTGTCTGACGACAGGTCCATATGAACAGGATCCTTCCATCCTTTTCTCGGACTGGGACCTGTTCATATACGTTCTTGGCAGATGATCCAAAAGTGGTTTGCCATTGCCTTCTTCTATGTGTGAATGGAGTAATTGTTGGGATGCCACGGAGGAAAACTCCGTGTTGCCTAGACCACGGCCTTGCCCAACACAAGTTATAAATTCGGGCACCGCCGGGAATCGAACCCGAGACCCCAGGATTACAAGGCCAGCGTTCTAACCGCTAGACCACCGTGGCTTAACATGAGGGCTAATATTTGCTAAATACATTGAGGGAACTGGTTCTTTCGTGTGCAGAGTGTCTTTGGTGTTAACTGTGCTAAGCGTTCGGGATCTCCGCTGAGAGACATTTTATCATTTAGCTACTTATAAATCAGACTGGGTTTAACTACCAAAAGTCGAGTGTCAGACTGGCGAAAAAATAGAATTGCTTTTAAATCAGGAAATGACACAGTGACATTACGATTAGAATCGATAAACAACGTGAATAAAACGATCTGGAAACTACTTCCTCCTCTAGATCGCTTTTCTTGCTGCATAAATGCCATAAGAAATCAGCATTTACTTTCGTCTTTCTTATGCACGGGTTGCAGGTGTCAAGATTCCTGCCTTTGTCTACACAGGGAAGAAGCCAAATTCTTTCTCGACCATACGCTCTGCTATGGCCACATCACATTGCATACGAGGGCGCTACTTGCAAAATAAACGAAGTGGGTCGATGGTTAGAACGTCCCCTTCATAGGTTTAATTTTAGTCCTGAGGTTCGTCGTGACTTTCCTCAGTTGCTTAAGTTAATGCTTACACAGTACCTCCAAATAAGCTTCCCGTCTACCATTCAAATCCCCCTTCACCAAATTAATCCACTCGATAAAGACTCGTTAAACAAACTAAGAAAGAGAGGAACACGGACGGAACAAAGGTACGGAGGTCTGTGATCACTTCTAAGCTCCGGCTGCTTTTGCCAACGACGGAAGACAGCCCCACAAAAACTGAAGAGACAACTGATAATGCAGATAAAAATTCCTCAGTGTTCGTCAGGAATAATACATCGGCCCGTTACTTGGTAATCGACATCACCGCTTGGCATGGTATTCTGTCGACTCATACCTGATATAAAACAAAATATACTCAAATTTGGGCTGACTGTTTCAAACGCGTTATCAGAAATTTTGTATCGGCCTGCATTATTTAACTTATTGAGATACAAATTTGTTGCTACAGGTTTCACGATGCATAAAATATTAACCGCATCGAAAAAATAATTACTTTATGTTACGTATTACGTATGTTGGGCAAGGCCGTGGTCTAGGCAACACGGAGTTTTCCTCCGGGGGCTTCCCCGGTTTCTCCGTGGCATCCCAACAATTACTCCATTCACACACAGAAGACGGAAATGGCAAACCACTTCTGGATCATCTGCCAAGAACGTATATGAACAGGTCCCAGTCCGAGAAAAGGATGGAAGGATCCTGTTCATATGGACCTGTCGTCAGATAGAACACTAATAATAATAATAATAATAATAATTTTATATGATGATGATTTTCTTTGAAGAAATAAGACGTTCGGTTTAAGCTTTATGCTTCCGCGAATTTTTAAGCGATTTAATTTAAAATGCAAGAAATTAACAAAACAATAATTCGCCCAATAACCTCAAGTGTAAGCCACATATTACGTGTTCACTTCACGCCCGTTTAATAACTGACACTGTTAATCTAAACAGAACTGACGTGAGACGAATTGAACAAGGACGAAGGACGAAGGACATGAAGCTTCGTCGAAGTCCTTACTCCGACTGTGGATCTGTCTGCGCTGGAACTTTACTTAAAGCCACACGCGATTAATCTTCATATGAAACTGTAAGAGAAGGAAGATTTTAGGGAAATTACAACAGAACAACTCGTGCTTAATTCCCCGGCGTTAACTCGAACATGATAGCCAGACTCTGACGTTCACAAGGTGTTCAGACACGCCTTGAACCGAAAAACGTTTGGACCACATTCAACTTTACGTTCGTCCATCTGAAACAACATTTGTGTACCCACTTACTTATAGACCCCAAACACTTGCATTGTTAATTTGTGTCACTTGGAACAAAACTCAAATATACATAAGAAACAAAAACATTTTTAAACTCAAAACTCAAATATACATAAGAAACAAACATTTTTAAACGAGGTCTTGAGACGGTGTCATGGAGACACGATGTTTATATCTAGTGTGTACGAAATACCAGCATACAGGTTAGGTCAATAAAGTTTTGGTTTTAAGTCTAGTTTCGTCTTTTTTAATCTGTTACTACTTGGGCATAACGAATACAGTAAGTCGACTTCAAACACCATTATATTAAAATCTTGGGCAGGAGACCAGATATCCAAACTAAGATCATTCGTAGTTTTCGTCAGTCCCTCCAGTCAAATTCTGGGAAAATTCCTCAAATTAGACCTTTCGAATTCATTGTTTATAATGTTATATTACTACGTTATAGGCTATGATGTATGAGCCGGGATAGCTCAGTCAGTATAGTGACTAGCTACGGGCTGGACGACCGGGGTTCGATCCCCGACGGGGGCAGAGGATTTTTCCTCTAGCCTTTTTTTTTCCCAGCCTCCTCTACAATGGGTACCGGGGTCCTTTCCCGGGGGTAAAGCCGGCCGGGGCGTGATGCTGACCACTCACCTCCATCTAGTGCCGGGGTCAAGGAAGAGAGGAGCTATACCTCCACTCACCCCAAGCGCCTACATGGCGCATAGCGGGACAAACTTTACTTTTATAGGCTATGATGTGAGCTACTGGCAGCGTCATTAAAGGAACAATACATAAAACCAGGCCTGTCTCTTAATCATTTGTCATGGCGTTTAAATTCGGTATATATTCACTCTGTCAGACCAGTTAATCTTCCTTTCCTCGCGAATTTATTTCTCTCGTTAAACTTTTGTATCCATTTATACCTTCTTTCTATTTGTCTTCATTCTTTTCTCTAATGAGCTTCTTACAATTCCACTTTCTACTGCGTTGGCTGTGCCAAGGGGTGCTAGGAATCAGTTCTCGTGATATGCAGACGTCCCTTAGCAGTTCTGGTGGGGGCAACGCGAGCCAGAGTTTCGCCCACAGAGCAGAGTTGCGACCATTGTCAGCGCAGAGGCTGAGTCGGTTGGACGTGTGATCGCGGCAGACATCAAAACATGTGAGTAAACACAACCTACACATCTCTCTTCCTCTCGATTGTCTTTTTAACTGGGGGTCGACGAACAACCGACGGTGTACATTTTTCGCTTTATGCAGAGGGACACGACGAAGAGTTCTGTTTTGTGACCGGCCAGTAAGCTCGATGGAATTTAAAGTTTAGACCGATCAGATAATAAACAGTATTTTTTAATTACTTCGATTAAAAATTCAGTGTGCTTCGGTTTACGAATTTTTACCCTTCGCCAAACATTCAAATATAGAAAGACAGGTGAAAAAAAAGGAAAGAGACCACTTGGAAGACCCAGAAACAGACGGGATATTGAGACAGACCTCAAGGAGTTATGATATGAGGATGTGAGCTTGATTCAGCTGACTAAGGATTGGGATCAGTGGCGGGAATAAACATCTAGTCCCTAAAATAAGGAAATTTCTTAACTAGGTGAACGACTGTTAGCTTCTCTAGGACTCTGCTCCATGGAATTGGCTAATAAGTGTATATCAGTGCTGCCTTTAAGGAGAATAAAAAAGGTACGTTTTAAATGAGAAGGGAATTGAACCTAGGTTACACACGAAACGTCCCATTGAGAGATTCTTCTTAAACGTGATCAATCTGCATGCATTTTGTCGCAACTTGTGAAGGAACGCGACAAAGTTAATTGTTATTTTCGCATAGGCCGACTGTCGATCAGATAATAAAAATCAAGCAACCCACTAAGAAGTGTCTTTTAAAGGAGGTCGATTAACAGCTGAACGTATTCATAATTGTATATATTTCTTTTACTGCAGATATGGAAAACGGTAATGCACATCGAAATTCCGGTGTAAATTAAATATTTGTACAAATGTACTAGGCCGCAGAATGTTTCACAGTTACTTTGGTGAGCACACATTTTGTCGTGTGATATGAGGGTTATTTGCCACTTAACATTGAATATTTATAGCAGAAACAAATCAACCGTTACAAAAGCTAATATCACACCTCAGTATCATAATTGTTTATATTTTGGTAAGTATTCACCATACCGAAACGTTTTCAAACAAAAGTCGAGATCTGAATTTAACAGCACACGCCAAATTCTTGTGAAAAGAGTCTTTTGAGTCTGTTTTAAAGAAAGATAACTCATTTCCATCTGCATGTAAAGGATCGATACAAACCAAAATAAAATAAACTTTTAGTGGACAGCCTCTGCCAAAACTCGCCACAATTCTTCAGGACGCAAAATACTGAGACGGACTGACAGATGGAATCTGTTTATTATGCGCAAATTTTGTATACTTTATACAAGGAAAACACATAAAAGCTATTAAAATGTTCAGCCAAGAATATAACCAGTGTCCTGGCTCAGATTCGCGAAAAAACTTTCAGCAGACCTCACAAAGTATTACGATTTTTATAAGCAAATATTTTTCACTCTATTTGAACTTCCGTCTGCTGTCTTGAGTTAAAGGAAGGATATGCTATCACAACTTTAAAAAAAGGTAAATTTGTTCCTGATGCTTAATTAAGCACTACGACATGCAGAGCTTCGAACTCTTTACCTCTTGAATATAAGTCTAGATCCTCACCACTAGATCAAGTGTCATTATTTGTAATGGGTTGGCAGAAACACAAAATATATTTAAAGACAGTACTCGGAATATGCCTGGTTGTCGCTGACAAACAATGTTTATAACCACGTGTTTTACGCATAAATTATTATAACCGTTGCCATGGTAACGCTGTGAAGGAATTCTCGGCCTTTTTGTTTGCATGTCTGACCGTACGACTGTCTCCTTCGTCGGGCTGACGATAAACTGTAATGATCCATTGATGTTCTTTCTTCAACGCGCGTAATTCTTGACGGTTGTTACCGTCACGTGTGGAAATTAATTAGCTTCTTTTAGCGGTAAGATCGGAAACGTGTAGATATTAGTCCGTTTCCAGTTTTTTCCCCTCACTTTCTTTGTCCATCAGTAATTCCGCATTTTCCATAAAGAGCATGATTGTCAGAATGAACCGCGATTATTTCACTTAACATCATAAAAGAAATGATCTTCGCGAAGGCGAGTTGTGTTCTCGTTGTGATAAGTACTGATTTCGCAAGTATTATTTTTAAACAAAAGGGCAGTTGTCCGTAGGTGCCAATAGCCGGTAGTAACACGTTCCAAGCCGAGGTTCGAACCCAGAGACTTGCCGTTACGTGCTCTCTGCTACAGCTGGGAAGCAACGGAACGAACACGTGGGTTACTGCGTCGGAGACGTAGTGTCTTTGCACCTGCTGTTTATCTGAAGGATCGGACCGCGACAGAACATACCAGACAGTTAACAGTTTTTTTTTCCAGGTATGTGTGCATTTGTGTGACAATACAGTTTAGAGCTGGCGTGTCAAAACCTGTAGCGTTTCGCACTAAAATTTTCACTGTAGGTCGCGGTCCAAACTTTCAGTGAAAAGATCAGATATACGAAAACAGTTGAAATAGCTTTTGTTATTCTGAGGGTCTTTGATAATGGTCTGGTATTATAAACTAACGTTCCCTGGACACTATCAGTTGTAAAAACCATGTTTACAACGTTCCAGAGGCTCTTACAGTATGCCATAATAACAAGAGCAAATACCCAGTGCGGCATGATAAACTTGGTCATTGATACAAGAAAACTGAGCTGGACATTCTTTGTAACAGTACAACACGGCAAGGAATACCAGCAGATCATTTTAGAAATTGGGAAACAACTCTCAGTTATTCCCGCAAGCTGTATCAATTAGAAACATCGCCTTTATCAAAGATACAAAATAACATTTCTTAAGGTATTATACACTCCACACACCTGCAGTTATAAGCATAATCTTATTATTATTATATTATTATTATTTAGTGTTCTGTCTGACGACAGGTCCATATGAACAGGATCCTTCCATCCTTTTCTCGGACTGGGACCTGTTCATATACGTTCTTGGCAGATGATCCAGAAGTGGTTTGCCATTGCCTTCTTCTGTGTGTGAATGGAGTAATTGTTGGGATGCCACGGAGAAACCGGGGAAGCCCCCGGAGGAAAACTCCGTGTTGCCTAGACCACGGCCTTGCCCAACACAAGTTATAAATTCGGGCACCGCCGGGAATCGAACCCGAGACCCCAGGATTACAAGGCCAGCGTTCTAACCGCTAGACCACCGTGACTGAATTAAAATTGTAAATCCGTCGGGTAATAGGAACCCAAATCTTCCAGCTTTGTTAACATCCCAACACTTATTATCTTTCATTTATTTATTTGTTCAATTACTTTCGCGACTACTGTACTTTATATGGCTGTGTACGTTTGCTACAAATCGCATAATTATTGATGACAATAGACAAGCGGATTTTAAAGAAACTGGCTGTCAGAGTGCTGAGCGGTTTCATTTGGCTTAGAATATGGTCCAATGGTGATCTACTCTTAACACAGGAACAAATCTCCTGGTTTCATAAAAATCGGGGACTTGCTTGACTAGCTGTGTGACTATCAGCTTTTTAAGAAGGGCTCTGCTACGTGAAGGAATTCGAAGGCCCATGCCGGAGGTAAATACGGTTACAGCAGAGTAGACTAAAAATTAAATACTTTAAATGATAGATATTAAAGACCCAGGTAGTAAATGTGTCTAATCAGTTTGACACTAAGCTAAGTTACACGCAGAAGTGGTCAATGCCATCACGATGACTGTCAAATGACTGTAGTTTGTCCTGCTCTCGCCATGTGAAGCATGACTTCGTTTGGCAACTATTGCAACAAAATAAATGAAAGTAAATAAACTGCATTTACCCGGTTCTTGCATATTATTCGAAGCAAGAGTTTAAGCTTTTAACGCAACAAATCGTTACTTTAAAACTGCTTTGAAATAACATAAATTTATAAAAGGCTGTTGGTTTCCTTTCAACCACATGAAGCAAAATGGCTGAAACACGACACTTAACTCTGTCAGGTGCAGCTAAAGTTTGTTGCAAGGTTTTGACGCAAGGCCCACCACATTCAGTTTCTTCCACATGACTGGGCGAGAATCAGCAAATGCTCTCTTACTGCTTCTATACACACGATTCTTTAAAATTAAATTAAACTCCCAGAGTCTCAGGCAAAATTATTAATAGAGCAGCTTAAATTCGTAAAATATTTGCTCCCATCGAATTCATGGACTTTCATCTTCCCATATCCCGTCTAAAATTCTCGCAAAATCATTACGAGACCCTGAAGTTGTTTATTTTATGCAAAAATTACCTTAACAAAAGCAGCAGTTGTCTAAGATCTAGAGCCACACAAAATTTCACAAATGCGCCAATACCCCTCCTTCAAAGTTTCCACTGCGGCCATGTTGGTAGTATTGAGAGTTGGAAATAATAATTCAAAAACATGGAGTGGCCTAAAGTGGCATGGTGTTCGTACCAAGTTTAAATTAAACAAGCTACGAGCTGCAGGCATAGCGTAATAATTCTGGTGCGTTTGCCAAATTTTTCCTTATCGTATGAGGATGGCGCCAGTGACGTCAGAGTTGTCTGGGTCAATCGAGGGGGGGGGGGGGTGC